CAGAGGAATATGGCTGGGATAATATTGCATTCTGGCAATCTGTGAGAAATGCAATCTCTGTGTCACCCAGTGAGGCTTCTCTGTTTTGTGAAAAGTTCCAAATGACTCCTCTTTTTTATTTAAGGTAGGGGTGGGAAACATCAGGTCAGAACTAAATCTAGCCTCTTGGGTTTCAGTCTAGCCTTCTGGAGTGGCCCATATTGTCTGTACCCATCCCCTGGCCTTTCCTGTAACCACTGTTTGGAGGTCTGCCAGCTTTTCTGCATATCCCAGCCCCATTCAAAAAGTTGAAATGTTTCTTCTCACTACAATGGGCAGAAAATGTGCACTATTTTGGCCCTGGACACTTGGTTTTTGCTTCTGACCCTGGCTGATACTGGAATGTAGCCTAGAGAGCATCTCCAAAATTAACCCTCTGGTAGAAAAAGGTTCCTTAACCCTAATTTAAGAACTTTGTGGGTCAAAGAGAACATCTTGCATTGTGCCAAGAAAGCACTTGGAAGAAAAATGCAAGTATGTTTTTAGTGATCAAAAAATAGGCCCTGTCACTTTAAGACTGAGAACTGGTGCGGTATGGTGAGTAAAGTGTTGGGCTGGGGACCTGGGAGATATGGATTCTAGTCTCCAGTTGGCCATGAAACTTACTGGGTGACTTTGGGCCAGGCTTACTGGGTCACTCGCAGCCTAACCTACCTCACAGGTTGTTGTGAGGATAAAATGGAGCTATATAAGCTGCCCTGGTTTCCTTGAAAGAGGAAGGCAGAGGGGATATAAATGCACCACAGTAATGAGTCTAAGGCTGCAATGCTGACATTTTGGGCAATTTGATTTTCTTCCTCCTTTTGAAACAACCAATTCAACAACACTGTAACTGATTTGATCGAATGCAGATACAACCCTTTCCCAAAGTGAGGAACTGGAAGTGGGATTTAGTTGCTCTGGAGTTCAACTTCACATGCATTTGAAAGCACAGTAAAAATCAGTTAAGCACCTTCTCTTGCCTCAGCCAGTTACAAATGTCCACAAGTCACATTGGCCTCTTCCTAGGCTGCTCTTGCTGCTGTCACCAGAGACATGCAATGGCTGCTGGGAGCACCAGCTGCTGCCGGCACAGCTGCCTGCGGAGAGAGGACAGCTCCATCCTGAGAATTTGACCATATATGAAGTCGACTGTATGTCATAACAAAAGCGTTAACTTAGTGATGGCCACTGCTACTTCTCACCTCCTGTTCCAAGCGGCGGTGGCCACAAGCAGCAGCTCTCTCTTCCTCTCTCTCTGGCTGTTGCAGCAGCGGTACCTGCCACCCATGCATCTTGCTCTGGCAATTGACAAACAGTAGTAAATGAAGGTTCCTTCCCCTTCAGCCGTCACCACCAGCAGATGAGGGAGATGAAAGGGAAACGAACAGTCATTCCAGCAGCCCTGCTGAAAAGCTGCTTAATTTTCTTCTCTCTCCTCCCCATCCTGTTTGCTTGTTTGTCACATATTTTTAGTTTGTAAACCTACAGGCAGGAACTGTCTTGTTTTACTTCTTGCACATCAGCAGAAGTTCGGGATTTATATACTTGGCCTAAGTGGTGAATCTTGCTAGTGCAAAGAGTGAAAGCAGGTATCAGTAGCTGTCCCTGCAGGTTACTGGGACCTTAGCAGCCGCCCACCAAGCTGACCTCCTCATACCAATGCTAACATCCATCCATGTACTCTCCAGATGCTGGAGCAGGGCATCTGAGCTACCCTAGGAAACAGTCTCTTAACAGTTTGCCAAGGTCCTCTTTCTGCATTACTTCTCCAAACATCTTTCTCTGCAGGACCTGCAGAGAGAACTGCCTAAGGTGTCAGCATGGTCTGAGTCTGGGAATAGTCGGGAGTTTGGGAAATAGGCGCCCAAACAATGGCTGAAATACTAGATCATTCTGTGCTGGCTTTGAATTCAGCCCTTTCTTCAGTACTAGGGATAGGATAGTAGATACTGATGTTGGAGAAATACTTGAATTATTAATATGAACCCAGGCTATTGCAATAGCATCTTGTGAGCAGAGGTCCACTTGTGTCATGTTGGATGCAGGACCTAAGTGTTTTTTAAACACATATTTGGAAATAGTTCAAAAAGCAACTATTTCCAAATAGGTAAGCCTGCATGAGGTGGCAAAAGATCCTGTTTATGCAGTGCTGTTAGTGCGAACAGAGAGCTGGGAGGCATCACCATGACTGCGGCTACTGACAAAGGATGCTTTTGGATGAAGCTTTTATTGGGCAATTGTCTCACCTCATAAAAGGGTACAAATGACAGCTTCTTCTCTTGGTAACATTCCTGTGTTCTCCTAATATTACTCCCATCTATTTTTTAAACCACAAGCAATCCATTAACAAAGGGAAATATAGCTCTATAATGCCCTTTCACTGGTAGCATTAATTGCTATCTGCCTGGAAGTACCCCAGGTTTGGGGACAAACAAGGAAATGGCAATTGGATCCACAGGCTTCTATATCTATGCAAAGCTGCAGAGAGAAGTTCAGTTATATAAACTGGCCCATAGACAGTCTATTGCAGCTGAAATCCTACACACAATTATCCAAGAATAAATCCCATGGAACCCAGTGAGGCTTACTTCTGAGTGGACATGAATAGGTTGTACTGCAAGAGTAATTGAAAAATATGTGCAGGTTGAAATTTCTGTAACACCCTTCTCCAATCTGGTCACTGGAGACAGTCCCAGCCAGCATGCCCAATCCAGGGAGTTCAAAAGGTCCAGGAGGAACTAAATTTAACAGAGACCCTAATTAAAGATGGCAAGACAGGGATATCATGCATTGTGTATTTCATACTCTGTTGAATTATTTCTCAAGAAATAATTATCTCCAAGTCACTAGATTAAACATAATAATGTGGACATTGCAGAGATACAGAAACTTTCTAATAGTAAGAGCTGCTTGACAGTGGAACAGACAGCCTCAGGAAGTGATGAGCTCTCCTCCACTGGAGAGGCACAAGGAGAGGCTGCACAGCTATTTGACAAGGATGCTCGAGTTGTATTTTCCAGTTCTTATCATGCATTGAACAGCAAGTAGGACAAGCTCACCTTCAAGGTCCCTTATAGTGGCATGATTCCGTGATTAATCTCACATGTGCTCATCAAATTTCCCTGTAAGTGCCCCCGTCATTCTTCCCCAAGTCAGACATACTTAATTACTCATGGTTTCTTGAATCATAGCTTGTTATGTGCAAACTTGGAATTATGGTTTAACTATGAACAATGCACAAAGACTACTCATGGGTTGTTGTTGGGTTGTGAACTGTAGCTGTCATTATGTGCAAATCCAAACCTATGGGTTGTTCATGGGTAATATCAAGCTAGAGAAGAATGGGCAAGAGTCATCAAAATCCCCAGTCTCTTTGAATTCCAATACTTCAGTGCTGCAAAGGCAACTGGGATAAGGGAAGGAAGCAAACAGAGGAGGAGTGAAACATGCAAAAAACAAAACACAGTTTATTTGATCATCTGCCAGACAAAGGCTGAGTAGGGCAACAAACCATAGTTTAAGAGTTAGCATTTCAAAGCCTAGCAAAGTAGGGGATTAAAACTGTTGGAAAGGAGAATATGTGCAGATGGAAATTAGTCAGCATGGTAGAATTAAGCACCCCACTCCTGCTCTCTCCTCCATGTAAATGTATGCAGCCAAGTCAGCTGGGAATCTCATGTTACCCTCGGAACAACTATGTTAGCTGAGAGTACCATTAAAAATAATGTACAATGTAATCTTCATTCAGGTCTATCTCATGGTGTTCACTGGGGCTTACTCCCAGGGTAAGTATATTTAGGATCCTAGCCTAAATTGATGTTCTATCCTAAGTATGCATACCTCCTAGGAATAAATCCCTTTGCTTAAAAGACAGAGGGTGGGAGAGAGATACTGTTCTGTGTTAATATTTCCATGTGTATGATAAAGGAATTTCATAATGGACCAGAGAAAGCACAGACACAACATAAAATGCAGTAACATTGTACAACTCAGTACTGAATATATACATCTGAGAATCTTGCTCCACACCTTTGAATTCTTTTCTTCATCCCCTTCACATTTACTGCTGTAAGATACCGTTTCTGATGCAGGTATATGACTGGAACCTGAGCTGCCATTCCTTTTGCAAATGAGAATTTTAAAAATAGTCTTGCCCCCAAGTTTTAAGTTGCTGTATATATTTTGAAACACAAGACACAGATAACATACTGGTCATCAGAAACAAAAATAAAAGATGGGGAGCACAAGAAGCTAGTACCCGCATTTTCCTCTTTGTTTCATACATAAAAGTACGTTAGACACAGAGACAGCCAGTCTTCTGCATTCAGCAGGGTTTGCTGTATCGCTGGCAGCATCTTCATGCACTTGCAGGTAAGAATGAAAATATATTAATTCTCCCGAAAAGCACGCACATTCCCATACTGGTTGCATCCATTCACTCCCGCTCTGCTCCTGTACTCTGGTAACGTTACATTAGTGAGCCCATATCTCTGGGGCTGCATTCGCATCTATTGCTTTACTTCTAGTGCGATGCTTACCTTCATTGCTTTGGACTATTCGTGTGTTTTCAGCTAAGAGTGGGGGGGGGAGGGGGGCAAACCTTGCAGCCCTCCAAATGTTTGGGCCTGCCACTCCCACCATCCCTAGCTAGCACAGCTAAAGGAGAGGGGAACCGTAGTCCAGGCTCTCCAGGCGGCCCCACGTGCCCCAACCCTGAGTGAGCCAGGAGGCCGCCCGCCCCTCGGCTAGCGGGCTATTGCCCCAGATGGCTCACCCTCCTCCGCGGAAAGAGGGCAGGCGCCCGCCGGCCCAGAGCGAAGGCGCGAGGCGGCGCGAGGCGAGCGGGGACGCCGCGAGTGTCGAGGCGGCGCACGCGCGCCTCCCCATTGGTCCCTTCGCTCCCCCGCCTCCGCTTGACGCCGAGCGTGCCGGTTAAATGCCTCCCGGCCGGCGCCCACCGCGCCTGTTTGCCCGGAGCTCGTTTGCTGGAATTTGGTTGCTGGCAGGGAACGCGGCGGCGCTGGTGGCGAGCGGGGCCCGGCGGCGGAGGGAAAGTTCAGGTCGCTCAAAAGCAGCTCCCATCCTTCTCCCCGCTTCCTTGCTTCAGTCGCTCGAGCGCCCGGCCAGGAAAGGTCCATGAAGAAGCCGCCCCTTCGCTCGGCATAGCCAGAGTTGACGTGCGTCCACTACATGAGTCCCAGCTGGCTTTAGCCATGAGCTGTTTGGATGTTATGTACCAAGTCTATGGTCCTCCCCAGCCTTACTTTGCAGCAGCCTATAGTCCTTACCATCAGGTAGGTTGTCGGGGGAAGGGCGAGGTTACCTTGATGCGGGGGTGGGGGGCGCCAGGGATGCGGCATGCACGGGATGCCGGACGGAGTCTTTTCAGTTCGATTGCTCAGACCGGCGGGGCTGGGCATTGCATTGCAAAACGTGTCTTTGGCAAGAATAGCATCCCCAGCTTGGCACAATTATACGCTACTGATGACTAATTAACGCAGCCGACTGATTCGCTTTCCTCCCTCCCCGTGGGATCGGGGAGATGGATGGCTCAGCTAAACTTCTCGCAACACATTTTCCCCTCTCCTGGGTCCGAAGAGACCACAGCCCAGTTAGGTTGACACGGGAATGGATTGCAAACCCCTTCACCCACGCTGCTGAGAATGCATTGCGAGGGATGCGCGTGAACTGGGATTGTGGATCTTCTTGACGGGAAACAGTTTGATCCCGAAGTGGGTTTCTTTGATTTGCGCGCTCGCTCTCTCTTAAAAATACGGGGTGCTAAATCTGTGCTTCTTACGAAGACACGCACTCTCTGGAAATTGCGGTGAAAGGGAAGGTTGATTTTGTTGCCGGACTAATCCTCCACAAATTAGGTCAATCCTAAACATGACTATTTAGAAGTTCTCTAAATCCAGAGGGATATAACTGTAGTCAGTTTGTTCGGGTTGTTTTTTTTTTTTTTTTCACGATGGCAGCCTTGATCGTTGCAATGCCGTTGACATCAATGGAATTAAAGCAGGTTCACTGTTTGCAGGATTACAGCTTTCCAAAACAAAGAACTAAAAAAAATGTAGCAATAGCTACAACAATAGTTCAACTCTCAGTAGGTGATTTTAATTAAGCAATGCTTCTGTCATCCCTCATGCTTATATATAAAATATACTGGAAATATTCTGAAAACATAGTAATTTCTGTAATAATTGGTCAATCTTTTTGAACTCAATATGCTGTATAAATGCCAAGTTTGAATAATAACTAAAACCAAAAAACCTGTCAAGTTCTTCCCTATAATATTGTCCTTTCGTAGTCTTGCTGCGCCATGCTCTTTTGCTCGCTTACTTGTAAAAAGCTCAGCCAACAAAATGGATCCACAGCTTTTCATGGGAAAATTCAACACTTTTGATTCAAAATTAACAAAATGTTTCACTTCCACTAGGTGAATACAGAAGATCTTCCAGGCACATACACAATTTTAGCTCTTGTCCTCTGTCTAGGCTCATTCTTTAAGATACCAATTAATTTTCATGTCTGAACAAGCCAGTGTTATACAAAATGGATTGTTCACTGAACATATGTTTTTCATGAACCTGGGTGTCTTATTGTTGGCCTGGGAATATATTTTTGCTCTTGAGTAAGCCAAATATGATCACTTACCAAGAAGCATTTTACTAAAGCAAAATTTATTATGAAATGAGACAAGATTTGTATCTTATCTGTCAATTCAGAAGTAGCACTGAGTTCAAGGGGACTTGCAATCCTATACCAGTGTTCTGGCAAGCATCTCCCATATTGTAAAGAGATTTAAGCCTAGTTTATAAATTGCTTGCATGGACAGAATGAGACTTCAGTGTAAGAAAACTGCATCTGGTCACCTGTTGTATTTTTATTTTACAAAACCGCCAGGCTGTTCAGGCATTACTTTTTCCCACTTTCATGGCCATCTTACATTCAAAGAGATGAAACGTGAATCAGTGGCATTTGCTTCCCAATAAATTTATCTGGGACACAGTGTTAAGCTCTGCAAGAAACAGTCTGCTAATCTTGTATACCCCTTACCTGGGAGTAATGCCTCTTATTTCTGAGTAGATGTGCAGAAGACTGTTCTGTAAGCTGTTAAGTAGAACATCAGATCTGCTGAAATCTATCAAGTCTCAAGCTCCTCCACAAAACAAAGTGTAAGATAACATAAGTTGCCTCCTTCCTTGCTCCTCCTTTTTGCAACAATGCCTTCAGCCTAGTCCTATTATTTCCTTTCCCCTATATGGAGAGATATCTAGTTCTAATTTGTAATCATCCCACTCCTCCTTGGACCATGCTGCATCTCTGTTAAGTAGTGTTTTTATTACATTTAATAAGGCTTACTTTAAAATAGGTGTATGTAGGATTGTAGCCAGAATTAAGGACTGAACACCATGCAGGCACTGTGGTTGACCGGTATCTGGAATCTGAACTGCATTATGTGTTTGAAGTCTTCCCACTAGTTTGCTACTATACTGAAATTTAACTATTTCTAATGCACTGTCTGGAAACTCTAACATACTCATTGTAAATAAAATAAAAATATCAGTATTAATAACAGATCCTTGATCCTGTGTGTTTGCAACCTAAAATTCTACATGAGTGTGGACTCAGGGAGGCCAAGGAGTACATCAAAGGTCGGGAAGATGGGATAGAGTGTGTTCGGCTCAATTATTCAGTCTTTAGCTGCAATTTCAGCAATGGGGTGTACTTAGAATGGACAGCTAGCTCAAAGTTTTCCATAGTCATGATAAAATTTCACAGTCCAGAAGTCATGACTGACTAAAGAGTGGGCCAGTTGCTGGCCTATAATGGGACTTGCACCCCAAATCTGCTGTTAGAAGCTGCCAGCCCAGTAACAGGACCAGCATGATCAGAATGGTTTCCCAAATAGTCCTTTGTATGAACATGAGAGCAGAGTTCAACCAGGCAAAAAGCCCAATTTTGTGCAGCATCCTGACTCCCACAGTGGCTAGCCCAATATCATCAATATGTAGGAACATGATGGGTTTATAAGCAGCACATTTGTGCTCACGTTCTCTAGCAACTGTGTTCAGTCTTGGAGATACAAACAGCCATCATGATTAGCAGCCATCCCACATGAATTCGTTTAATCCCCTTTTGAAGCCAGCTAAGTTGCCATCATGCTTTATCCTTGAGATGGCAGCATAAGAAAACATGATTTATTTATTTAGCTTGACTTGTTGTTCGCCTTCTCTCTCTCTGTGCCTAGATCACAGCTGAGAGCAGCTTCCTCATACTCATAGGTTCTTCATGCTGAATTCAAATCCAATTATTCGTTTTGCCCTTCATGGCAGCCGCTGCAGCAGCAGCTGCAGACACACTAACTGAGCTAAAGGAAACATGGAAAACATTTAGCAAACTTGTGAGAGAGCTGTGCTCTCTCCCCTCCCTCTCATCTCTAAGAATCTAAGGAAAAAAACTCATCCTGTCAAAAATGCTTCTCTCCTTCTGCCTGCCAAGGCAATTCTTTTCCTTCCAAAGGAACTGGAGCAGCCAGTTGTGCATTTCTCTCCAATCTGCCTCCCCAACTATAATCAGAAAGCATTCTCTGGATTGGTCCAGATGTTGAACATGTACACTTATTTTACTTCCTCACATCCACCTCTGGAACTTGAATCCAAAGGCGGCGGCAGTACACTTTCTCATGATCTTCCAGTACTTCATTTAAAGCAGAAAAGGAAAATTGGAGAGGAACCTCAGGGATGCTTACTCAGTGGCCAGTCCAGTCCCCTTTCATCAGAGAAAACCTTCAACTGTAATTCTGCTCCTTAAAATCAAAGGGAATCTTGCCATTCATCTCAAAAAAATCAATACACCCCAAAATCTTATTTTCCTGATTCTGAGGATTGGCACATTTTGTTCAATGATCCCCCTACACAGTGAGGTCCCCACTTCACTTGCCCTTTGATTTCTAAAGCAGGGGTGGTCAGAAGGTAGATCGCAAAGTAATTTGTAGTATATTCGCAAGGAGTTCTGACTTCCAGTTGTTTAACAATAGCAGCAGCTGACTTTTACTATGAACTGTTCAGGAAAGCAAGTGTGGATTTTCTATTGAGAAAGGCATTAGGTTCCCCTTCAGTTCTGGTACTCAAAGCAGATGCCTGGTCTCAGAATTAATTTTAAGTGTATGTGTTCTGTGCAAAAAGATTCCTACTCAGGCTGGTGATCTCAGCAGAAAACAATGCACAGTAGACCCCACAAACCTGAAGTCTGCCCAGCCACACTATAAAACATAACTGCCCATTTAAACCTTTTAAAGTGCAAAGTATTCTAAATATCTCCTTGCATTTGCCCTTTTATCTTACCATTCATCTGAAAAGTCTAATTCCAGTTAAATAAGCATACAAAACAAGTTCCTTTGTCTACTTTAGCTGCCTTCAGTGTATGCCAGTGTCATCTTGCATAGAAGGGGCTGTAACTCCGTTTTTGCCTTCAGAAAACCTCAGGTTTGATTCCTGACATCTGAGTAGGGCTAAACAAAACCTCTGTCTGAAACCCTGGACAGCCACAAGGCAAGACGGACCATAGTCTGCCTCAGTATAGGAAGGCAGCTTCCTGTTATGCCTGGCAAAAATGCCTAGCCAGATGGTTCATCAATTTCTTCTTAGATTTCATGCCCTCTCTGCAAAATATGAATGGAAGGGAGGGGGAATTGCTTCCCAGTTGCATCCAATTCCTTCCCAAAGACCTATCAATGGCCCTGATGCATATAACGCATTCTCTGCTAATCAGCCGTAGCTCCAAACATTTTGTGGGAGCTCTAGATACACATGGGGGGGGGAGGGGGAGGCACTAATGAAGTGCTCTGCAGAGCAGTTTTGAGGAATCCAGAGCACGTTACTTGTTCGCTCACCAGCTTGTTCACAGTTCTCAAAGCCGGCTGCATGGTTGTTTTGCCTGGAATTAATGCTTGCAGGCAGCTTGGGTTGGGAGAGAATACTTTTGCCCTGGGCCAGAGGAGTGAGGGGAGCTTGCTGTGGTCCAAAACCTCCTTTTAAGCTGCAATTCTCAGGCTGAAGAAGTCCATGCAAGCTGAACTTTCAGGTTTTAAATGGCTGTTGGTAAGCAGATGTTAGATTAGTATGATTACTGCAACTATGTCCAAATGTCACCCTTTGACAATCAAAGCTTTCAGGTTGTAGAGCCTCTTCTAGGTACCTAAAAGAAACAGAGCTCAGGCCGATTGAACAAAAAACTGCTCACATATTATGTGCTAATTTGTATATGCCAATATATGTGCATAACTGGAAATAATTCCTGTAATGTAAATGTTATAGAAGGCAAACTAACCTCTTGCTTGAGTTCAAGACAATGTACAATGTCCTTAATTGTGCTTGCTTAAAACTACTGTTCATGTGCCCACACTTTTTCTTAGTCTTTCACATCCAAATCCAAATGGGGAGTTTGGGGTGCCTGGATCTAGCAAAAGGTTGTATGGCATCTTAAACATTTACTGATGCCTTGCAAACTGAATGTAGCACACCAGGAAGAAAGAAAGTGGCAAGCTATTGTAGAATTATAATAACCCATACTCTTATGTTGCAAGCTTACAGTTACTAGAGAGTAACCCCCATTAAACAGAGGTATTTGCTCCTGAGTAAATTCTGCTTGCTCTCCCCACCACTATCAGCAAGCACAGCCACCCTGGACAGGAGGATGTAACTTTTCTGCTTCTGGTCTCTAGATTAGCTAAACTAGCTTCTCATTTATTCAAAACACTTTATTTTGATAGTTCCTGAGATTCTGGAACATGGAATTGTTTGGTTGATTTACAGGCTTCAGGTCCTAATTTCTTGAAATCCTTGCAATATGATGTTTCTAAAGAGCAAAATTGCATTCCTTTATTACGACCAACTAAAATTCCTAATAAAGCTATTATCTGAGTGTGGATTTGGGTTTTTTTTAGGAACCAGGATGGCTACCTTTGTGTTTATTTGCCTTTTAAATTATGCAAGTTTAACTGTCAGGTTTCTCTCTAGATCTAGTTATTGGAATTACCCTTCAGGGTATATAAGGCAAATTGCAGCTCTGAGCATTTTTGCTAAGGAATAAAACTCTATAGGAAGAATTATACATGGGAGTAAATACCATTGAACTCACGATGACCTCTTGGTAAACCAGTTAAGGATTTCACAAAAAATTATGTCATCCTGAGCATGTTTCCACATCCACAAATCTTTCAGTACCTCCAGTTGTTTCCCTATCCCTCATAATTTCCTGTAGCATCTCACCCCATGAGCCTCTATAGCCATTTTAGGGCTGGACTCAAGATATTTTTTTTTTCCTGAGGCAGAGCAGCAAATAGCAAGACTTCACCCCTAGTCAAGGTGTATAGTAGTATTCAAAGCAGGTTGGGTTGTTTTGGCCTCTGGGATGGAAAATCCTACAAGTACCTCTCTCCTCCCTAGTAGTGAATATACAGTAATTAAGGAATGAACACTTCACTGTTTTGTCATGATGTCCCAAATCAGCTGTGTAGAGCAGCTGTCTCAAAGCTCATGAAAGTTTCTTTAAAAGTCCCTATTGCTTAAGTAAATCCCTGTGTATGTTCAGGTAAGAGGAAGCCATTTAATTTCAGAAAAACAAACTAACCCTCAGGCAGAAAGATTAAAGGGAGAAGAAAGAAAAGTACATGTACCTCTATTTCAGCAAGGGCTATTTTTCTCAAATTACATAAAAAGCAACATCTTTCAGAATTTTCTGCATAATGAATTCCCGAGAACTTCTTACATCATAGTTAATTTGTGATTTTAAGATACCTCAAGACATTGCAACTTCTGAACACAAAGAAGCAAAATGCCCCATTTCTCTTCCCATATCTATTTGCCTATCTCTAGTGCAAAATGCTGATGCCAAGGAGAACCAGAATCTGCTCACTTGGATCCTGCAAAAAGCAGGTGCAATGTGATTTCAGAGCCTAGGAGCTCCAGAAACACTCAAGCAATCCAGGGCTAGCTGTGCATTCATATATTACTTTGCCCAAAATCCAGGTGTTGCTACTTATTCAAACCCTGTTTGCAAATAAACCTATTTGTTTTTCCCCAAGGAGAGGGGCCTGGGTCAGCTTGAAGAAAGCAACAGATGAAGACCCTTAGCACCCTGTTTGATATGTGAGCAGCCAATGCACCTGCTGTTCCTCTTGTCAGGGCCTTACTGCCTACAATGGTTCAGGACACAAGTGCAGTTTCCCATTAGTCTCTGCAGAGTCAGGCATACTCCAAAAAAGGCAGGGTGACAGAGGTGCTGTTAGGCAATTTTGGAGCCAGGTCTTAATGAAAATGATAAGCAGTCTGTGGAAGGAAAAGTGGCACCGTCCACTCTAGTTTAGAAGGCCGGCATCTTCATGCTATACTCCCTATAAGTCCACTAAGGGAGTATGTGCTAAGGTCTATATAACTGTAAGACTCCTGAGTTTAGAGGGAAGAGGGCAGCTTGGGTGCATTTGGGGCAGCTCGAGAGATCTTGGGCCCATGCCCTGGTGATTCTCTGGTAGCACCTTTGTAGTGTTCGTATGTGTGCAGCACTCACCATTTACCCCTCCACAACTATTGCATCAAGCCATGATATCGGCATTAAAAGGAGCTAGCACAGAGCAGATGCTTGAGCAGCGGACAGAATATTGGCCTGTTCTGTTATCAAAAATAGAGTCCAAAGGCATCTCCCAGACTTACTAATCACCTGTTTCTAGAGCACAATAACTGCGTTTGCCTTTTGCACAAAAGACCAGTATACAGACTGCAGACAATCTGTAGGGAAAGAATATGATGGCACCTTAAAGATGAATATCCTTATTTTGTACACATGCCCACCCACATGCCAAAATACAAACTAGCCATACTTTTTCTCACCTAGGATCTACTTCCACAGGTGCAAAGATTATTCTCTGAACTGGTTGAATATTAGCATTAATAACAACTCCTGTACTGCAACACCACAGTAAGACCAGGAAGGAGAATTTTCACATTTGTTCTCATTGCACTGAGAAACACAATGCTGCATAGAGTTTGCCAGTCACAAACTTATTGCCAGTAAAAAAGAAAGCCCATGGTGCATGAAGTGTGACTCGCCCCTGACTACCTTTTGCTCTCCTCTGCAGAAATTCGCCTTTTACTCGAAAATGCAGGAAGCTGCGGAAAGTGCCAGCACGAGCGGCAGCAGCAGCGCCAGCAGCTCCTTCTCCAGCCATGCTGCCGCCACCAGCATCAAAGAGGAGGAGTGCAGTCCTGAGAAAGAGCGCCCTCCAGAGGCTGAATACATCAGCTCCAGATGCGTCTTGTTTACCTACTTCCAAGGGGACATCAGTGCTGTGGTGGACGAGCACTTCAGCCGGGCCCTCAGCCAGCCCAGCAGCTACTCCCCAAGCAGCGCTGGCGCTAAGGCTGCCACTCGGAGCAGCAGCTCATGGAGAGGTGAGCTGATCCCTCTCGATCCCAGATGATCCTGGGGATGTTATCTCTGCATGCGCACCTTGGAAAGCCATTGTTTCTGCCAGACTTCCCCAGCCTGAAGCCCTCTAAATGTGTTGGGTTACAGCTTCCATAATCACCCCCAAGAAGCATGGCCACTGACCATACCTGCAAGGGAATGATGGATGCTGTAGTTCAAACAACCAGAGGGTACTGGGTTGGGGAAGCTTGGCTTATGCTTCCCTCCCAGCAAGAAGGTGAATGTCTTTTGTGTAAGGAAAATGTGAACATGCCGTTCTGCTGCAGGTCCCAGAGCTAGCCAGGGCGGGGGGGGGGGGGGGGGTTTGCAGGAATGGAGAAAGACAGGGTTGACACCGCATCAGCCTTCTCCAGCCTTGAAGCCTCCAGCGATTTTGTGAATTGCAGAACTTCTGGAAGGCTCCAAATTGGGTAAGGTTGCTCTGTCCGCGGGAGCAAGTATGATCAGTTACACATTAGTTTCCCAAGGAATAAAAGGGCTTTTACAATCACTGGTGAAAATCACATGTCCTCCCACAGCTAAGAGGGGAGCTGTGACAAAACTGAACTGTAAGTTCAGTTGTGGATTCAGAGCTTGGGGCTTTGTTTTGAATACCAGAATGAAATGGAGCTCACAGTCTTTCCACATACAAACCTGCTCCTGGTTACCTCCACCCACCCAACTTGACCAAGCTCTCTTCTTTGCAGTGATTTAGCAATTAGGGTAAGTCACTTTGTTACTGCTGTTGCTAAATAACTGAGTCGGAAATCCATGCTTAGCTCCCCCATTGGTGTACATTTACTCATTAGAGAACCCGGTAGGATGTCATTTTGAATAACCTTGCTTAAAATTTGGGTTGTTGGGAGACTGCAACAATCCATCTATAAACATCCATTGGAAGGAACTGGGGAGGGAATCTTTGTGTTTTCAGAGATGTGATATGACTCTGCTCCAAGACAGTGAGGGGAAGAGCAATTGCACTCCCAGCCACTGTCAGGAAGGGGGCTGTTAAGAGTAGGATGGTTCTCTGGTCTGATCTTGCAGGGTTCTTACATATGTAGAGGCACAATCCTGCACAAGTTCAAGACAGAAAAAAGGCCTACAACTTGCAGCATGCCTCAGCTAGCTATGGTTCACTGGCTGCAGTATACTTTAAACTTGCACAGTGCCTTAAGTATCTTCCACTGAATTCCATGGGAGATAAAAGCTCTTTACTCTAGCTGGATTAGGTACAGCTATTAGCATCCACACATTTGTGCAAAAGGGAGTTCTGTTGTGCAGACAACTGTGACTCAGAAAGAGATACCTACTACATAAGGTGATATGTTTTATTCTTCCAGCTTCAGGAGGTATATGCCAGCTTTTTGCCTGTGGGGGCGGGCGGGGGGGTAAGCAGGTGGGATAAAAAGTGTAAAGCACATTGGCTGCAAGTAATAACTCTAAAATTCACCTTTGAATAAGGCCAACTCAAACCTTAGTGGGCCAACAAAAGTCACAAAAAACATGCATGCTTTAGTCATCTCCAAGACAAGATGTTTGTAGTTCAGAAGTGGTGTAGAATGTAAAGCAACACCTGCATAGCTGAGAATTAATCCTAGTGAACTCACTGAGGTTTTATCTGAATAAACATATAGGATTGCATTACTAATCTGGCAGGAGATTATCATACCTCCCTGTACATCTCCTTTGGTTCTTTAAAGGGCTGTTTACAGAATTATATTTTCTGGAAGTTAAGAGGCAATCATAAGCTCATTGGATCAACTCAGAAAGTCTTATGTGAGGAGCTACAAACTCTGTCTCTTTTGCACTCAAAAGACAAAATAAGAGCACATGAAGGGACTCACTGTAGCAGTTGGTAGCAGCATGAGGGCTCTTTAGACCACTGTAGAAAGATGCTGGGTCAGTTTAGGGAACACAGCTAGGAAAAGCTGCATCTACAAGAAACTCCTTTAGCAGCATTTTGATCTGTAGCAATTAGCAGGCAACTCATTTATCCTCCTGCAATAAAAAGCATCACCTGTTAATTTCTGTATATCAGGTAACTGTTAAAGGCACAGCAGTGGCTTGAAACCTATTTTGTGAGATAACACCCAGAGAGCTTCAGCTGTTGGGCAAAATTAATAATAATACTCTGATAGAATCTCCTTTGAAAAATTATTTTCAGATTATCAAAGGGAGAATGGTTCAGGCTACATCCTATGCACTTGTCAAGGGCTCAAACTGAGTCATACCCTTCCATCTAACCTAGTACTGTCAACACGACAGGCAGGGGCTGACCAGTATTTTGGGCAGGATTTTTTCCAGGTTGCCAAGATTTATCCTGGAACCCAGCTGCTCTACTACAGAGCTATTGCCTTTCCCCTAAACCCTGAAGTCAGTTTGTTCTATCTAATATGTTTGTCATAATTCATTTCAGTGGGTCTGCTCTACATAGGGCTAATATTGGATACTGTCCACTGAAGTTTACTTATGAACAGAATGGTACAAGGAGCCTGCATTGTGATGTCAATCTTTCATGGTTTTAAGATGCTCCAGATGGTTAATTGAGGACTTAATTAACCTAAGAGGCCATCCTGAGAGTTATATTTGCAAACAGACGATCTAACCCAAGTCCCGCTGAAATTGATACAGTGTAACTTATCGAGACAAACTGGGAAGGGAGCAGATTGCTCTTAACTGAGTTTGGAAACTGATCATACAATGTAAAATGCTGGGGTTGTGATCACTGGGACACTGATAAAATGCCATGCTTGTGGCTTTTTAAAGAACTCCAACAAAAAGCCAACTTACTGGAGAGGAAGGAATAGGAAATATTGCCAAGTTCACATCTGAATTGCTTTGAATTTAAATAATGTATTAATCTGATTACCTAACCTGCAATAATAAAAAATATCCACTTAATGAAATGATCCCTCTTCCCTATTAAAATTAAACTCCAGCTCTTGTTACTGTGTGATGTAACATACATCTTTTTAAAATAAGGTAAGGATCAAGCAAATTTAAAGAAAGCAAGAAAGGGATTTTAAATGGCTTTAATGATTGCTTTTGTGACCAAATCAGGCTTTTCTACCTAGAAATAGCTGGAACTATGGTAGACCAATTAAATTTCACCCATTTCTTTTAACATGTAAGAGTTCTCCCCTCTGTTCTGCAGTATTTTAAAAATCATATCTATAGTCTGAAAAAAGCAAATGACATTATAACGTGATATTTTTATTAAAAACAGTTTCAAAAAATCAGGAAACAAATCAGTTAGGCAAGACACTGAGATAACAGTCTTACACCCACACTTACGGAGTATTAAATCTCATTGAACTCAGTGGTATTTCTCAGTTAATATGTATAGCTCTACTTGTTACAATTCAGTCTGCTCAGTTAAAACTACTTGAATATTGTTTAGTGAAACATGAACATAATCCTGAACACGTTTATTCCACATTTACTCAAAAGAAAGATCCAGTGCATCACATAGAATTTATTTTCACTAAATTTAGGACTGCAGGCTAAATTTCTCAAAAAAAAAAAAAAAAAAACTATGTTATGAATTACTGGGTTTGAGTCAGACTGATTTATGCTTCGCGTATATCCACTGAAATAAAACTTGAGGAAGTCACTAGGAACTTAAGTCCTACCAAGTCTGGATCCAGCCCATTTTGTAAAGGGATTGCTCTCAAGTAAATAAGTTTAAATGAGGATATGCCCCAGCCCAGGAATACAGGCTGCTGTTACAGTGTTGCTCTTCACAGAGCAAGTTACAGGTTTTTATATTTGATACAATTCCCTCCTGCCCTGCAGCCATGCTTTGACAGAGCTTAGAAATACAAAACTCAGTAGTACCTGTTTATGCATATGCAGTAGAATCCAATTCACATCTAACTGAAAGGAAGACCCATTGAGATAAATGGGGTTATTCCTAATTAAGTAGGTATAGGATTGCAAGGGGGGGGGGTTGTCTCTAGTGTTAGTCTAGCTCAAGTAGCATTCATTTCTATGGTTGCAATACTGTGTAGTCCTGTCTGGAAAGCCCAGGCTAACTGGATAAATTCTGCACCTTGGTGTAGAGAACTTGCCACCTATTTTTAATTCAGATCATACTGAAAGCAGCAACAATAAGCTAAAATCTTAAACAAGGTGTGTGTGTGTGGCTTTTACAAAACTGCTCAGTTGGCTCCCCTTTCTAGCTGCTTTTAGTAGGAGGAATCTTACAAGGACTCTACAACCAACTCACTTGATTCAGAGAAGCTTCAGAGACGATTCACTGATGGGGGGGGGGGGCAGACCAGAGCTTGCCACCCAGGTTCTAAACAGGCAACATGGACATCCCATAATTTTGCTTGAATTCAGTTATACAAGTAGAGCTGGTTCAGCCTTATGCTGGAAAAGGCAGCAAAATTGTTACTTATTTAGTTTTTAGTTTTATTTTTCTTACCCAGGGGGAAAAAAGATTTTGGAAAGCATTTGCTGCTTTAGGTGCCAAAATAGCTAGACCAGCCCTGGGTCCTGCGCACTTCGATTTTTTGCGGTGGTGGAAGGAGCAACAGCTGTTGGCTATTTCCCTCTCTGACTAAATCAGAATGGGTTGAATCCAATATTAGTCCTACGTAAAGTGGACTCATTGAAATAAATGAGCCATAGGATATAACCTTGTGGCTGCAGTTCTAAACATTTATCTGGAAGGACTCAGTAGGACTTACTTTTAAGGAGAGACTTATGCTGCATTCTGTGCATTGTTTTGCTCCACAATATTCATTCTTATAGCAAGTGCAGACTTACTTCCCACCAGCAATTGGGTAGGAAAGCGCTTCTTGCTCACTTCTTTGCTGTTGTGTGCAGGGTCCTTTTTGGATACTGCTTTCAAGAAAAAAATCTCACCCGAGAAATATTTTGGATCTGATTATCATGCAGGTACTGCTCATGATAAATATACACACACTCAGTCACAGTCTCAATAACCAAGAAATGACTGAGCAGACAAGTTCTTAGGATTTAGCTTGCTCTTTTCCTCCTACTAAGAAATAGAATCTCTAGGATTTAATTATGTTGCACAGGATCAGAGCCATATTCTGAACATTGGAGCCAGTGCATGTATATGTTTGTGATGTGTAACTTGAAGGTTTCTTTAGGAGGATTCCTCCTAGGGGTAACAAGCCTTGAGGTCTACCTCATGATGCAACTAGAGCCTAGAGCAATGGAGGAAATTTCCTTGCAATGTCAGAGCTTTCCCCCATTCCAGATAGACATAGAGTTGCAGAAAGAATGGCTGTGCTGCAGGGCATGCGAGAACCTTTCCTTTGCATCACAGCAGGGATCCAGCTGGGGCAGGAGGCTGTGGAGCTACCTCTCTGCTCCGAGAACTGTCCCACTTTCGCTTTCTTCAGGAAGTACAGTTGCCTCACACAATGCTGTTTTAATGAGGCACTTGTTCACTATAGATGGATAGCTACCTTTCATTGTATAATTTAGTCTCCCTTTTAAATCTGCCAGTTATACCCGGTGGCACGCATGCACACACAAGTTAAAGCAGCATCCAGTACATGGCTAATTTAATGATTACCTACAATTTCATTTGCATCCTGCCTTTCTTCATAAAGAACTTATAACAGCTAACAGCCTATTTAAACTGCAATACATCTGCAAACATTAAAAACATTTCTCTAACCCATACAACACACCCAATCCACAGTAAGTCAATCCAGGGGGCTTACTCTCTGGTACTATCCCAGAACTTCCCAGAAAGCAACTGCAGATTTGCAGCTTTATTCATTCCGTTTCTCACAGTAGCTCCTGTCTGAGAGAGTGGCTGAGAGAATCACTGAACAGCAGCTCCAGTGATTCTTTGTGAGAGAAGCTGCAACAATCCTATCATGTTTGGACAGGGCTTTTTCTATCTAACCTTGCATAGGATTGTGCCTTAAATGACTTAATGAACAAACAAAAACTATCAGCTATTTGTTCTCTGGGATACTGCCTTCTATTTAATACATTTTCGTTGAGAGAACCTCCAAAAAGCAAGAGGCCAAAAGGGCCTTGCCTCCCATCATGTAGATACAGCTATTTCTCAGCTTTAATACAGTCTAACAGAAACGCAGCTAAGCTTTGGAGACTTTTTGGCACCTGGCAGCTTTGATTTATATTTGCAAATCCAGACTTTGACCAGTTAATGGTCAATGATTTTATTGTCATATTTTTAATCTACTGATTATGCTTTCTTATTGTACAGACTATTTGAAATTATTTAAGTTGAAGAATAGCAGAAGTGTTTCATGAATAATAAATAGATCATGATAAAGATGTGGACAAGATGGATCGGATAATGAATTATTATCTAAGAGAAACCTGTGGACATTGTCTGAGGTTTGCTATGTATGCAAATCCTTATTGATCGGGTACTACGGTTTGGACATAAACATACTCAAACCCCACTCAGTTGTGAAGCTCACTAGATCCCCTTGAAACAAGGCACTCTGGTGGGATTCTTGTGAGGAGCAAATGAACACACACACACACACACACCCTATCCTGATTTGCCTGCTGAAAGATGGATGCTACTATTACCAAAACAGCATGTGGAGACTACTTTTTCCATTTTTTCTTGAAAAGTTCTTGAGAATCTCAGATTGGCTTTTGTGAGACCTCTACTCAGTGCTTTTTTTGTGAGAAAAATGGTGCTGGAACTCATGAAATTATTTACCTTTCGCACATAGTCAGTCACTGTACACACACCCACGCACGTCAGTTGTGTAATGAAAGTAAAAGTAAGCACTCAGAGCACGACCACACGACCAATTCAACACACAGGCAGCCCACACGCACCATTTCAGTGATTTTGCTGCTGACCTTCTGCGCTTGACAGGGCGATTCAAATCCACATGGACCAAATGTCAAATTTTAAAAAGTTACTTTTAAAACTTGGAAAAGCTGTTGAAAAAAGGTGCCGGAACTCTGTTCCTGTGCATTCTGTGACAAAAAAAGCACTGCCTCTACTACAGGATGTTCTCTTGGTTTGGGGCATTTGTTGTATTTATTTGTTTTGATAGGGTGCTGGGTTCGGCTTCAAGATCCACTGGCAACAGCCCAGATTTTCTGAGTCATAGCCACCCATTCTGCAGCAAACAAATCTACTAGTGATTTCTTTGAGAATCAAACTATTACTATTTAGACTGTAAAATTTACAGTCAGTTAGTGTTCTTCCTCTTGAGGAAGATTGGAGATAAATTGAGTGCTGATTTAGGGTTTAAATTAGGTTTCTTGAGGAACAGAAGATATGTTTTGTTTTTCTCAGATGATGCAAATAATGATCTCTAGCTCATGATGTACCAGGGTATGTCACTAAGGAAATCTCATTCAGGCCCACCTCATATTCATTATTAATGTCTGATTTTTTAAAAGTACAATCAAATTACATTCTAATCAAATTTTATTTTACATTTATGTCATATTTTGATTTGGGCCTCATATTATAGAGGTAAAACAGACACAGTTTTTTTAAGAGAACAAATTGCTTGGAAGTTCCAGCATATCACTGCAACTCTAAAACAAAGACACATGTTTTAGTCTCCCATGCAGGCTTTGAAAGTTCAACAGGTTTTCAGGTTGGTTTAGTCTGAATAGGGAAAATTCAGCTTTGGGATTGTTAAAAAGCTAAATTCAAGCATTTTAAAACATACAATTAAAAGCAACTTTGATCTTCTTAGCCACAATTGTTTGCTTTTTTAACTGATCTTAATAAGGAAAGAAAGCAAGATACACTGTAAAATTCACAAGAGTTTTAGAAGTACTGAACACACCGAAGTATTTTGGCACCACTTTTGAAAAAATTGCATTGACCTTTCAATTCCAGGGATCCCTTCTAGAGCAGGATTCTGTTCTAAATGCAAATCAGGACTAGGGAGACCATCATTTTGAGGACTGTTGCTAAGGGTCTTGAGAACAGATTAGAAGGAGGTTATTACCAAATATATACCTAAAATATACCTAATATTCTACAAAGGATGTTATTTAATTTTACATAAATTAAAGGTATATAAATCACCAAAGGTTTAGGGCTTCAGTTCGCAGAAGCCCTTGCCAGCAGAGCCAGTGATCAGGAATGTTGAGCTCAAAACATCTGGATATCTACTTTCTGTGTACCTCTGATACAAATGCCTAAGAGTAGTGAATGAATCAGTATCTCTCCCTGATATTGCTTTTATGACTACCTCTTTGTTCAGATGGATCATTCCCCATGAACCAGCGCAGCTTCCCACCCTCCTTCTGGAACAGCACATACCAGCCCTCTTCAGTGCCCCCCTCCCTGGGCAGCCCGCTGGCAGCAGCCACCCACAGCGAACTGCCCTTTGCTACCGCGGACCCTTATTCTCCAGGCTCGCTGCACAGCCACCTCCACCAGGGTGGCCCGGAGCCCTGGCACCCTGGCCACCACCACCACCACCACCACCATCACCACCCCTATATTGGTGCACAGAGTTCTGCCTACCCCCGGCCCACCACCGTGCACGAAGTCTATGGCCCACACTTCGACCCGCGCTACGGCTCATTGCTGATGCCTGCTGCTTCTGTGCGGCCCCATCGCCTCACGCCGGCCTCCGTGCCCACACCTGTCAGCCCACCATGTGAGCTGGGCAAGAGTGAGCCTGCCACTTCTGCATGGACAACACCGGCACCTTTCGTCAGTTCCGCAGGAGAGATGGCGCAGAGCTTAGGCCTCAATGTGGACACAGGTAAGGCCTGGAAGATGCATCTTTCCAATTTTGTATGGCCCTAGCCTCACACCCTGAAGAGCAGGTGGTGCCATGGTAAATTTTGAAGTGCAGACTCTCATCAGGCCATAGTCAAGCCCCTAAAATCCAAAATTGCAGGCAGCCATATTGATCCATCTCAACAAGCCATTTCATCTGCCAGGAAGAGGTCTTTTGCAAAGCTAATGTTTCTTAAAGGCCAGTTAGAGACCCCAGAGTACTTTACATTACAACAGGGAACAATATTTTCTTGCTGGGGAATTCCATTTTCTGCCCAGCTACTGTCAAAATTGCAGCTAAGCTCACAGGTAATTCTGAGCAGGAGTGGCAGAGGACACCAGTGTCCTAGCTAATCAAGAGGTGCTGATGATGTGCCCCTTGGCTCCACTATATCACTGTAAATGACCCACACTTTTGTATTAAGTTAGGATAGATATGTAGACACATCATGAGAAGGCAAAACCGCCTGGAGAAGACAATCATGCTTTGGAAGGTAAAAAGCAGAAGAAGAAAAGGAGGACCAAATAAGAGATGGATTGACTCCATTAGGAAAGCCACAGACCTGAATTTGGAAGAGCTGAGCAGGACTGTCATGGATAGGACATTTTGGAGGGCTTTCATTCATAGGGTCACTATAAGTCAGAGATAACTTGATGGCAACCAGAGCAACAAGAAGAATATACTTAGAAAAGAGACCTCTGCAATAAGGCTTCCTTGCCATAGAAATAATTTTATATACAGATATATTTCATGGACCACTAAAGGCTAAGTCTTAAGGGGTACCACAGGAGTGGTAACACTGCTTCTTTGGCTCTTCTTCCCAGTAGCACGTGATATCACATTTTTTCTTACATTATGTTACGACATTGTCCATTTTCTTATCCTGATCAGGCCAAGGAAGTGCACGATGCGATGGTATCATGTCAAGCATCGTACTGCATGTGTTACTTGGAGGGGAAAGGAAGAAACAGTCATGGAGCAGAAGCAGCAGTTCAAGTGGGGATTCATAATTTTTCATTCCACTTGCAGGAGCCAATGACCATCCAAGCACATTTGAAAAAGTGTGTTCAAAAAATGAAAATCCATATTGAGGTAATACATTTATTAGGCTAAGCCAGTGGTCCGTCACCCAAATATGCATGCTTCAGAGATCCCCAGAACTCTGCTTGAGGCAAGCTGCTATATAAGGCCAGCTGAAGAAAAGTAGGAATGGATGATGTTGAAGCCATGGTCAGAGCCATGAGATGAAATGGGATAGAGAGAGGAGGCAGACAGTCAAATTAAGTTGTTCCAGGTAAATTGATGCTTTCAGATTTCATCTTAATTAGAACAGTTGGGGGGAAAGAAACTGACACTGTTGATCTCTCCTTTAGTGAAAACATACTTCGGTGGGCAGGTAACAGCGTTCCGTGCACTTCGGTGTTTAGTCATGCCGGCCACATGACCACAGAGACTGTCTGTGGACAAACGCTGGCTCCCTCGGCTAGGAAACGGAGATGAGCACTGCCCCCTAGAGTCAGGCATGACTGGACTTAATGTCAAGGGGAAACCTTTACCTTTACCTTACAGGTGCTTTAGTATGTGAAAAACAGAAAGAAAGGGAAACCAACCAGTTTTTAAATTAACAAAGCTGGAGATTAAGGGGAAAACTCAATAGTGCATTACCACTATTAACTTTGGACAGATCTCTTGTTTCTTCCCCAAGCAGATATAACTGCCTAAGTAGGTGCAATGGGAAACAGATGTTTGCCCTGAGTACATCCTACTTACCATTCTAAGGACTTATGGAATGAACTAAGTCCATATTTACCTCCCTTGTTCTCCCACACTAGATTTTCTGAAGTCACCCCTGCACTCAAGCTCTGCTGAATAATACTGTAAATTATCTTCATTCTCACCATAACCTTGTGAGATAGAGTAAGCTTTTTCTTTTGTCAGGGCTCACCATGGCAACCCATTTTTTAATGCCAGGTTTGCATGCAAATCTGAACCCTGGCACCTCTCCCTTTTATAAAGAAATTTGGGATTTAATTGTAAAAGCCTGTTTGCACAAATGAGGAAGTAAAGGTGAGGGACAGTGACTCAATGGCAGAGCTGAATTTCAGTCTTTCTCATGTAATGCTCTCCATTTGGACTTGAGTTTTGTCTTCATTTAATCCTTCTTTTCAAGAATGCTTTAAAAAGATGACCAACTGTAGCAAGAAAATGGTGGTTTTGCCTTTTTCTGTCCTTATCTTATGGTTTTTTCATTCTCTTCCTCCTCCTTTCCTATTTTGTTTTGTTTCCTTTTTTTCTTTCTCTCTATTCTCAGGTTTGCAGCCTCAGGATAAAAGCAAGGATCTCTATTGGTTTTAGACCAGCCCTTCCACCTTCTCTTCCCCCTCCTCTAGTCAGATCTCTGCCTAAAGTAGAACTGGTGGTGACAGAGCTGAAATCGAGTCGATTTGTAACAGCTTCTGATCTTGGTTTACAGCTCGCCGTTATTCCTTCTGTGGTGGATCCCTCCTGAGCTGAGCTGCTGATTCTAAAGCTCCCCCTCCCACACCCAAATGCCATCTCCTTCCCCCCCACCACCACCTCCGTCGCTGTTCAACATCTCATGTCATATTTCAAGGACAAGGGCATGAACGTGGAAAAGGCCATGATGGAAGCTAAAAGCTGCTCTGACTTGGCATGACAACCGAGAGAACAATGCTCCATTGCAGGCTGAAGAGAAAGCACTTCTCTTCCCTTGAAGGTGTAAAGCTAAACTCAGTGGCTGCATGTACAGAGACCTGTGGCCAAGCCCTTCTAAAGCATCGTTGACTTTAGGAAGTTAAAGTATTTCTTACTGGTGATGATGGGCTAAACTTTGTTGATTGGCATTTTTAAAAATACACAACTGTTTGAAAGCAGCATGGGAAGTTATTCAAACCTTGTGAATGGGATTTTTGTCCCTTATGCCATAGAAACAGAGAGGAATTCTAAACTCCTAAGCATGCTTGGGACTTTTTTCTTTCTTTCTTTTTTTAAGGACAGATCTTTCAGACTTCAGTGTGATGATGAGTGGCAAGTGACTAGTCTGGGCCACCTGCCTCCTGGCTTACACAATTGCAGCTGTTCAAGAGACAACTGTTCCAACTCCCAAAACTCGACAACCAAGGTGGCACTTCTCCGAGTTTGGCACAAAATTGCATTGGATAATGCATACATATGTATACATGTGTATTTATAAGGTTTTTATACAAGAAACATTTTATGGTGAAAACAGAGACCCTTCCAAAAAGAAAAATCTAACTGCCTTCACTAGGAACAACTGGAGAAAACAGAGGTGGGGGCAGAGGAATAATTAGGCAGACCAAGAACCTCATTAATCCAATGAGCAGTCTTTTCTTTTTGGAAGGGATATAAAAGGTGTTTATTTGTAGGAAAGTAACATTAAAGATGTTTCCTTTCACCCTCTGATTGTTTTCTGAAGAGATTAAGGAAGCAGGCTAGAGATTTCTTATGCACAGTTGCAATGGTGTGTCTGTTTGTATGTGTAAGAATGTGATGAAAGCTGGATGTGAATTTCCTTTATTTTTAATTGAAAGTTTTGTGGATGTGCTTACCATTCAGAGGAGCCCTGCTGGGTAAGACTAAAGGCCTATCTAGTCCAGCATTGGCTTCCACAGTGACCCACCAGATGCTCATGGACTGCTCTTAAGCAGGACCGGAGTGTAACAGGACCCTCCCACTCTTGTTCTCCAGCAGCTGGTACTGAAAGATAAATTCTCGAGACAGAAATAATGTCTAGGCATCATGACTACTGGCCAGTAGCCTCTATAAATTTGTTCAATTCTTTTCTGAAGCCGTCTAAGTTGGTTTCTGTTGGTACATCTTATACGGCAATAGCAAATTCAGTGATTTGTGCTCTGTGTGAAGATGCCAAAGTATTGTTAGAGACGGAGAAAAACCTCTCAATCTACTTTCTCTGTACCATGCATGCGTATATACAATTTCCTCTATTACTTGCCCCTTTTTTCAAGACCAAAAAAGCCCCATGCAAACATGGTCACCTTTCCTCAAAGGGAAACTTTCCACACTCCTCTCCAGCTCTACATCCTTTATGAGTTGTGATGATCAGACCCAGATGTGCACAGCATGCCAAGTGTAGTCACACCATAGTTTGGTATAATGGCTTTACAATACTGCCAGTTTTAATTTTTGATCCCCAGCAAAGAATTTTGCTTCACACTGCATATAACCCCCACAAAAGCAAGACTCCTTTCTTTATCAGTCACCATAAGGTAAGTCTCTATCTTGGAGTTGTGGACAGTTGCCCCAGCACATCGCTTAGGCTGCAACACTATACACACTTATTTTGGAGTAAGCCCCACTGAGGATTGTAGGAGTTACTAAGTAAGCATGCATACATTGGGATGGTAAAAATATGTTTTGCTGGAGTGGTTCAAGCTATTCATCCTTGAATGAGAATTCTGCAGTAGTTCAACCTGGAATGCAAGTAAAGAGAGGCTCTGAGCAGATGAGATAGATGGTGATCCCTGCAGAATTCCCTGCTGCCATGCTGTCTTCTTTTGCTCCTGGCCACCGTTTCCTGCCCGTTCAGTCTTCTCGAGTAGGGAAATTGAGCTCTTTCCTTTTTTGCCCCCTATTTCCAGCCTGATGTTCTTCCAGTCACAAGCGAAGGCTATCATCTCTTCATCCCTGCTCCAAAGAGAAAAGGATGCAGGAAAAGCATGGACCCCAAAAGGATGTGGGGTTCCTGAGTTCTTTTATAAATTTGGAAAGAAGAGGCTTTGGCCTCTCCCAGCATTTGCATTCTCCCAGCCTGCTAGACACCGTGATAAACTATTCATCTGCCCACACTGCGTTTCCACCCTGTCTACTCTGGCAAGGGGAAACAGCTGAGAGAGTTGTGTTCCAGTTTGTTTCAGAGCTTTCTGCATCTAGCTGTACATGAGGCAGCTGTTCGGAGGTCAATGTTTATAGCGGCAAATCACCCCGCTGTGTTGCTGCACAGTATCTTAGAACAAGGCCACTGCCACGCAGCCATGAGTCGCGGCAGAAATCAGCAAAAGTAGGTCTCGCCACTTACCTACCCTGAGGCTGCTAAAGGTGGGATCTCATCTGTGGCTTCCCTATGACTAAAAGGCAGTTAGATTTATGGGCTGTGAACAGGGCCAGTCAGAACCAAAGGTGGTCCTGGCTGATAATGTTACAAGCACCTAGTGAAGACTTGCCAGGGGATTCTGCTTATCACAGAGAATTGTCATTTAGAACTTAGCTAGTGGTAGAGGTAAGATACTGTCTCATTATTTAAACTAAGTAAGTACCTGGGAAATCTCTTCGCCTAGTGTGTCAGATAGAAAAGGGTCAGTTTAAATGATAGAAAATGGCCTCTAGGTCACACATGAAGAAGTATGCCACTGAGTGTCATTCACATGTGTCAACTGCACATATGTATTTCGCTATATGCACACAGGGAAGCTGTGCAATGAATGTATTGCACATGTCCATCTATCAAATCACCCAAAAATCTATCAATGGATTCCATCTATATTAGGTGTGGGCAGAAGAGAGCATGGGGATCAATTGATGGATCTCTGGATGATTTATAATAGATTGGTAAGGATATCTGACTTACCAATTGTCTAACAATAGCACTAGTTAAGAGGTGCTGCTTCTCTAAATGTGAGATATGTGTTTTGGCAAGAAAAGGCCCTACAATCCCTGGCACTCTCCTAATCATCCAGATTGAAAACCAAAGCTTGTTGGAGAAAATCAATGTGGCACTTTGGGTGTAAGGATTACTCAGCTTTGTTCTGGTAATGATCACAAACTCCTGGGTAGCTAGAATCACCACTCTGCTCCTTAATTCATTCTCTGGCTTGGTGGATCTTGGGGGTTCTAGTGAAACCCAGAGGAAATCTCACAAGCCTGACATCTGACCAACCCAATCTGCATGATTTGCTTGCTTTTTGCTATCATTCATGAGAAGCATATGTAACATTTGAAATTGCATCTAGTTCAAAATGATTTTCAAGAAGGCAATGGAAAGACTAGTCAATCCCTTAAATATTTTGCCTTTTAAACCAAATGTGAGCTGGAAAGGGGCAGTCCAGATTGAACACATTAGGTGACACAGTAAAGAAAAAGCCAAACTTTCACAGAACGTTGAGAATGTGTTGCTAATATAACTAAAGATTGGGGCTTTTCCTTGAGCAATGTCTTAAGCACAAATTAAAAACACTTATAAATACCAACATTTTGTATATTACGTTGCATGTGTTCCAAACACTTTGCATACTACTGAGTAATACTTGGAAAGTCCTGCAAATGAAGCAACATTATAATCTCCTTATTTCAGAAGGGAGGGTTGAGGGTGAGAGGAAAATGGCCTTCTTAAAATCATCTAGTCCTGTCATAGGTAAATTCTAGTTTGTCCCTGAGACCTAAGTGACAGTCACACCATCATACATGCCACATTAAATACTCTGTAAAAAAATATACAGGGCCCACCATCTACTGATTTCAGTGCATGTACTAGAAAATCCAGAGTTTTAAAAAATGGCTGGAACAGCATTGGGACAAGATGAAATCTCTGTTCAAACCAAAGAAGCAGTTCCCAATATTCTGCTTTATTTTTGGAGGTGAAATTTTAAGAAGAGGCTACTTCCTAAGAAATCCTCGTAAACACACACCAGGCAAAAAAGATTATAGTGTGCAGTTTGAACGTTTGCACAGGGGTCCCCCTGCTGTTGGCGTAGAAAATAGGTGTTTTTAGCATTAGCAGGGGTATACAGATTCTCAGTTTTTCCCCAGGCTTGCTTATGTGAGCTTTGGCAATAGGAGCTCTTTCCCTCTAGAAATCCTCCCTCCTCTCCCAGGGAGTGTGCCAGTTGCCTCTCCCAAGGGAACTGTATCTGCCCTTCGTCATCTTGCTTCAAGGAGAAGCTGCCTTGCCCTCTTGCTTTCCCTTTGATGTTCTATTTGGATCCATGCTATGCTCTAGCAAGGGTTTAAAGCAGGCATGCACTCGACTTGGAACTATTAAGCTGAATGCAGCTCAGCAACAAGTGGCCTACCTGTTGACAACCTCCTTGTTTTTGTAGACCCATGCGGCACCAAGTTGGTGGTGGTGGTTATTTATACAGAGCTTTCAAAAGTTCAGAGTACTTTGTATTCATTTTGTAATGTTGACAACCATGCAAGGTAGGTTGTTATTACTATCTCCCTATTGCAAAAGATGAGGGGTAGGGGCGGAGATTGGCAGAAGCTGGGTGAGAATGGTTTGCCTAGGGCTTTCAGGGTGGTTTCTGATGATGTGAGATTCAGCCCTTTCTGATCTGAAGCTCATTTAGCTGTGGCTAAGTAAAACTGTTGGGGAGGATCCGGTGTGTGGTGGAGAATATGCTTTGTGTGAAGAAGGGTCTGAATTCAGTCTTTCACATCCTGGATGTGAATCGCCCTTGCTGAACTACAGAGCTGCTGCCAGTCAGAACGCATGACACTGGGCTGGATGCTTCCTATCTTCCTAGTTCTATCTTTAGCATACTCCAGACAGGAGCAGATAAGCAGGTTGCTTACCTGTAAGTGATGTTCTTCGAGTGGCCTTCTGTGGAGTCACACATATGGGTGTTGCACCTGCGCAGTTCCTTTGGCCGGAAGATTGCAAGCTAACGGTTTTTGGTGGGAAAGTTCCGCTCCCCCTCCCCCATAGCTTATAAAGAGCGGAGCGTCCGCCATTTTGTTCAGTCTTTGACGACCGAACATACGCCCCCATGTGGAAATAACTGTCATTACTAGATGAGAAAAAATCGGTACTGTGAAAAAAGGGAAAGCATTGGTACTGACGAATATATCCACTCACCGACACCAAGCGGGGCTGGCGGGTGGGTTGTGTGACTGCACAGATGGCCACTCGAAGAACATCAGTTACAGGTAAGCAACCTGCTTTTCTTCGTCCTGGCCTCTATGCATCACACATATGGGTAGATTAAAAAGCTTACCATAATGGAGGAGGAGAGGTGCCCTCAACGAAGAACAGATGAAAGAACAGCTATGCCAAAGGAGCAATTTTGCTGAGCCCGAACATCTAGACGATAATGTCTGGCGAAAGTGCAAGGGTTCACCCAAGTAGCAGCTCAACATACATCATCAATTGGGGCTCCCGATGCGAAGGCAGATGAAGCAGCAACAGCCCTAGTCAAATGGCTTCCAGGAGCTGTGGGTAATTCAATCTTAGCCAGTTGATAGGATAAAGTGATAGTATGAACTATCCACTTGGAAAGTCTGTGGAGTGACTGGAGCGCCTTGATCTCTGGTAGAATGTTTAACGAATAGTCTATTTGAGCGCCGAACAGATTCAGTCCTAGATCTGTAGAAGGCTAAGCAGTGCCGAACGTCAGTGAGTGCAACGACCTTTCTAATAATGTCGACGGAGACAGAAAAAAG